TAACTTTTGCCCATTTTGTTGCTGTTTGGGGGTTATTTTTTTATTTGTTTTGTTTTTAGTAACTGAGAGAACTAACTACTTCTTTTTGGAGGAATGGTGACATGGAACAATGAGACTGATATTCTCGTTGTCTCTATCCCTTTCCCACTTTGGGATTGCTGTAAATGCCTGATCAAATTCTATCTGCTGCTCTGTTTGCTGTGTGTGTTTAGAACCACAGGATAACCACTGAGGCTTCTCACATCACTGTGTTCTTTATCCCCTTTTAGAAGCATTGTGTTTTTTATCTGGCGAGTCTGTGAGAGTTTGACATTGGATGACTTTATAAAACATTCAACTAATTGGATTTGTTAAAATAAATAAATCAAACACTAATTGGAATGTGCCCTGCCATTATTTTTGCTTACTGAATTAGATATTATAGCGTGAAGTTCTTTTTATCATATTTGTGCACTTATTTAAACACCCCCCTGGCGCACACTTCTGCAAATTCAATTATATATTCAAAGGAGCCATTCAATTTATGCAAGGCTGGTTTACATATAATCCAGGGGCAAGTCTCAGTAACTGATGATAGGTCTGCTCAAGATTAATTAGCATCACTCAGATGAGCAGTGGCATTGTTACAAGCCCGCAGTGTAAAACAAGGGATATTTTATCCTTCTTATGTGAGCCATTATTTGCTTCAATATGACCCTTTTCAGGAAGGGGAAAGCTTTCTTGTTTAGATTTCATTTTGTGGAAAGGGTTTAACACCACCTGTGTTCTCCAAAGCCATCAAAACCATCTCCAGTTGCTCAGCCCCACTGAGCAACTGTGTTTTTTTAATTTTAAGCCAAGCAGGAAAAAGGTTCCGAAGATCCAAAAAATCCTCATTCTTGCTAACAATTTATGAAGACCCAGCACCCCACTTTGGTGATTGTGTGGATGTTGTCATTTTCCTCAAGCTGCTCTGTGATATGTGACTGAAAGGATAACTTGCAGACCTGGTAACTAAATTCATCCAGTGTTTGGTCTTCCTTTCCCTTCAACTTGAGGATGATTTTTTCAAGGTTAATGAATAGCCCTGTTCTGACTCTAAGCAGTCAAATATCAGCCATGGATGACTTTGTTTGGGGATGGGTCTAACCTCTTCCTGTCTTTATGTTCCATCATATTTGGGTGTAGCTCATCTAAAAGTATCTGCATGGGTGGGATGTCTGTGGAAATATTGGATATTAAGTTATGCTGCCATCAGTGCAAACAACACTTCTACTTGTTACTATTCCTACTTCAGTGAAGTCCTAAAATCTCTTCAGTTTTCTGAACTTGGCTGCCAGGAAGGAAAGCTGCAATGTCACATCTGCTAACTCCTGCAGAAAGCAGGGCCACCACTGATGTCCTTGCTTGGCCAATATGAGCACAAGTCACTGTGGGTTTACCAAGGATTGGATATAAGGAAGAATTTTTTGATTGTGAGGGTGGGCAGGCCCTGGCACAGGGTGCCCAGAGCAGCTGTGGCTGCCCCTGGATCCCTGGCAGTGCCCAAGGCCAGGCTGGACAGGGCTGGGAGCACCTGGGACAGTGGAAGGTGTCCCTGCCATGGCAGGGGTGGCACTGGATGATCTTTCAGATCCCTTCCAACCCAAGCCATTCTGTGACTGTTAAAGTAACCCCAAAGTCTGTGACGTTCTGATATATTGCACTACTTTCCTGTCACTTTCTGAAGTTTCTTTCCTGTTCCATAATACACAACAGTGTGAAGAGAGGAGTTGTTGACTTTGTGGCTCACAAGTCACTGTGGCTCTGGCTCCCAGCTGAGCCTTTATTTCATTTTTAATTCTGCTCTCAGTGGACACAGCAGAGCAAGAAGCTGGTGGGCACTGCCCCCTTCTTGGCACCCAGCATTCACACAGGCAATCTGCTTGTCTGAGCCCTTAAAATCAACTCCAGCTTTTTCTCCTTGTCCTCGTTTCCTGCAAATTCACCTCCACATTCCAATTCTGCTGCCTCTAGTAAATTAATCCTCCTGGCTTATTGCTCTGTCACTCTGTGTTTGGAGGTTTCTCCACTAACCTTTTCTTTCTCTGAAATGTAGGTGTCTTGGTGGTGCTGCTGCTTTTAAGGCTCTTCATGGTTTATCCTTTCCTTTCCTATTCAGCTGTACTACAAGGTTAGCTTTGACTTTCAGGCAAGGCACTTTAAAAGCTTCCTCAGGTGTTGTCTTGTATCAGCAGATGCTCCCAATTAATTTCCACAGGTTCTCACTGTGTCCCTTTTTCAGCTCCTCACACTCCATCTTCCTCAGTGAGGATAAAACCACCTGTTTAGCTGATTATGCCAGGCTATTGACAATTACATTCCCACTTCAATGAGCACTGCTGCCCCATATTTTGCTACTTATTGCTTGTTTTGCTTCTGGGGCTTTGTAGCAGCTCCTGTGCAATTTTTTCTGTGTAAAGAAGTTGAACTGGAGCAGAGGATGTGTTTACAATTCCTCCAAAGGAACAGCTCCCATATATCCCCATCCCTGTGTGCAGAGCAGGGGCATGGGGATGGTTTGTGTCTGAATTAAAGGGAATCCATCAAAATCAGGATGCCCCATGCAGGCTGAGAGCACAGGATTGGATTTTGCTTCTCGTTCTGCTGATTGGGATAAAAATGACTTTCACTGCTCACTCTCACACAGTCCAGGCTGCCTGGATATTCCCTTAGATTTTTTTTTTTTTTTTAGCCTGTTAATATTGTAATTTTGAACTTTTTCACCTAAATTAATAATAAAAAAAAAAAAAAAACCCCAGTTACACAGGTGTAATCCTGCTTGTTTTGACAGCTGGGAAGGCTTCACAAATGAGATAAATTAAAGACAAGGGTTATTTAAATATTATAAAATCATGATAACTCAGAAATATTTGCAGAAGCTACTCAAACAGGCATGTTTTCAAGGGTCATAAAATCTATTAACTGATGAAAATATGTAATATATACAAGTTTTAATTTTTTAGGGCAAGCTTTATCTCTTTGAACTTTTTTTCAGCAACAGAGTATTTTGTGGTGTCAGGTGCTCTATCCAACAAACCTTCCTAGAATTTACTTGACTAGAAATGTTTGGTGAGGTTTTGTAGAACCACTTAAATCAATTACAGTTGGAGTGCACAGAGAATAATTTAACAGTGTTAGGGATTGAGAACTATTAATGACATGAAATAAATTTGTAATTTGTGAGGCGTTGCATAGGATCTGAGAGGAAGTTTGGGCTTGGGTAATATGGGTGAAAATTAAAGAACGGTTTAATGTCTTCAGTGCAGTGTAACCCTTTATTGGAGAGGAACACAGGTCAGTGATGAACCAGGTGTTTATTGTGCGAGTGCAGCTGTGGGAAGGAGGGAGCAGTCAGGAATTTCTCTGTCCATGCACCTCTGGTTGGTGTCAGTGATGCCTGGTGAGGGCTGCCCCAGAACAGAGGCTGGACAGAGCTAAAGAATAAAGCAGGCATTTATTAAAAGGCCTCCATGGATCCACCTTGGGCAGCACAAGAGCCCAGCCAGGGCTGCACCCAAGATGAACCAAAATGGCCCCAAAATGCACAAACGGGCACGGGGTCTGTCACTGTGATCAGTTCTGCTCCATTTGCACCTTGCAGTTCATTGTCCCATTCCAGCTTTAGCCCAGGCAGTCCCACCCTGCTTGTTTTTCTCTCTCCAGCCCACGGTGTTTGTGCTCTTGGGCTGAGATTTGGATCATTTGTCCTTGGTGCCCAGCTGGAGCAGGAATTGTTTTGTCTCCCTGCTCTGTGCACAGAGCTCACCATCCCCTCATGTGAAGCCCAGACCCACACACTAAAGCAGCACAGAATCTGAAAAATATAAAGGCTAAAACCTGAGCATCATCAGGAGCCATTGGTGCTTGGCTGGCAGAGCAAGGGACGTTGCCCTGAGCACTGTGCAGCCCTGGTGTGTTACCTGTGCCCAGTTCCCTTGGAAATGCCCAGTTCCAGTTCTTGCTGGTGGACTGGGATCTGCAGAGAACAGTGATCCTTTCTTCTCTAAGAGGAAACCAAATCATTATAGACACACCTTGGGCATGATTCAAATCTAAACTGAGTTACCCAGATCCCTGATCCAGCAGTGAAATACTTTGGCAGGCTGGGTTTTGTGGAGGTTAAGGTGCATGAGATCATAAGGGACACCAGTGTAGGAATATCCCAGGAAATAAACATTCTCTGTTCCTCTGTGTGACCCAAGTTTCAAAGATCTGCACTGGAATACAACATTTCATTCCACAGTTCCTGAATTTTCTGTGATTCACAGGTGTTCAGGCAGCTGCCAATGCATTTATGAGAGTTAACTTCTTCCAAGTATTTCAGGAATTGCAGTGAAGATCTTTCAGTCAGCAGTCTGGAAGGTGTGAATGCCAGTTGACATCTACTGCTTCTCATTCCCCTGTTCAGAAAGTACAGGGACATGCTCAAAAGTATTGATTTGAAAGATCTTGAGGAAGCTCTGTGTGTTCATGGACTACACAGAAATTTGTGTTGTTACGTTTAGGAGATGGTTAAAGCCAGGTTAAATATAATAAAGGCTTTAAAGCAAAAACAAAAAGTGAGGTCTTGCTGTAGGAACAGTGTTGCTGTGCTTGTTTGTAATTTCTATTCCTCCTTCCTTTTCCTGATTTTTAAAAAAAAATATCTTTCTTGAAGGTTCATGCAAATATTCCTGCATAGGGGTATCCTGTAGAATTGTCCTTGAAAATAACAGGTTGAAATAAAGGGGGACTGATCTTAGAAGCAGTAGTGTGGATGGAAGAAAACAAGGGCTTCCAGTGGATATAAAACATGGAAATTACAAAGATATTTTTTGGACATCATCTTTGGAGCTGCATGAAAAATAATGTTTAGAAAATAAGGTTTATTTATTTTTATTTCCTGTGTAAGCTTGGATACAAAATATCTAAGTAAATGGCCTACCACAAAGAGAGAGAGAAAATTAACTGAGAAATGTTTTCATTTTTCTTGGTTGTAGGTGGTTGTTCGTTCGATGAGCACTACAGCAACTGTGGTTATAGCGTCGCCTTGGGAACCAATGGATTTACCTGGGAGCAGATCAACACCTGGGAAAAGCCAACAATGGATCCTGCTGTCCCAACTGGTGAGTGAGGAGCCTCATCAGCACTGATGAGATGCAATTCTTGGAGAGAATTAGATGTTATTGCTGTGGATGTGTGTGCTGGCTCTGGGTACACACAATAGCAAAGGAGGATTTTACTCTGTGATAAAATGTTAATTTTGTTTTCAAAGTATTCTGGCAACAGAATTCATAGATGTGAGGTGGCTTTTTGCAACATTTGCCATTGGATATCCTTGAAGAATTGTTTTACATTTCTTATTCTTATTTTGTTTCTCATTTAGCAGAGAGGAAATGTTCTGGATGTAAAACTCTAAAGTTCAGCCAGCTTTTGGCATGTTTCTGGATGAGAGAGTTATCTGGGGAGGTTCATGTTGGACAGGCCAGAAGTAAAGCCTTAAAATATGTGGAAATATTGGACACTGCAGTTACCATTTAGCTCTCAACTGATTGTTTTAAATTCCAATTTTGAGAAAGACAAGAAAGTTCCTTGTCTAGAGAATTAGTTGTGGTGGCTAATGCTTGATTAGGCTGGGACTTGAGATAGGAGAATTTTCATATGCAAGAAAAACATTTCCAGCAGTGAGATTTACCAGAGTTTCTAATTTACTAATATGTACTGAGTATAGTGTGGACTTCCATGTGATAGTTGAAATATTCTTAGCAGAGCTCACGGTGGTGATAATTTCCAAGTTTTGTTTTCCATTGGAAGTTACCATTATGTTTTATATGGGAATGAATTCTCTAGCTTGAAATGCTTTGTTTACATTGAAAAAGAACTTGATTTAAGAAAACACTTTAAAGTTCACTAAAAATCCTATTTTGTCCATGTTGGTTGCCACCTAAAATAGCAATGCAAGTCTCTTTCAGCCACACAGTGGCCAAAAGACTTTATCAGCCAGTTAAGACTCTGATTTCACTCCTAAAAAAAGAAATAATTATTCTGGTTAGTGTATTGCACTGTGAGAGCACGAACTACATGGAAGAAGAGAATATAATGTTGTTCAAGACATATTCTTATGCCTGTAATTATTGGGATAAGAGACTTGTAATTGCTGGCTGCCTGGAAGGACACGATGAGGAGCTGAGACAGCAATAGCTCCCTGCCACAGCCCCTGACAGACAGCCCAGAGCCCATTCCTGGGTGCTTGTCAGTAAAAACCAACTCAGGAGACGCCAGCCTGGCTGGGCTTCCTCCAGCACTGAAAGCTGGTTCAGTCTTGTGGGTTTTAAACCATTTTATGATTGGAAATTGCTCAGAATAGGAAGCTTCAAAGTGTGTCACACCTGGTACTACTTGGCTTGGCTGTGGCATCCCCCAAAGGGTTAATTGTGGAGGTTGCAGGTTTTTGGTCCTGCCTGTAAGAGTGTGTTTCATGATTCTGGATGTTGTTGTGTTTTAAATGATGGCAATTTTATCTGTGGGGCTCTTCAGCTTTTGGTTCATTGTTGTGTCCTTATTTTGTGTCCTTGGTAAAGATCAAGCTGGTGAGATATGGCAAATCTTTGAGTTAACTGATTCCAGAGGGAAGGAGTAGGAATTTACACAGTTTTGATGCAGTTGAGAATCTGGAATAAATGGGAAGGTTTATATGGCTTGCACTGGACGAGTTCAATGCTTTAACTCCAAATGTTAAAGTAAACCCTTCCTGGCCTCCTTTGGAGGTGTATTGTCATCTGAAATATTCTGGAACTATGGAGGGGTCAGCAGAAATCCCAGAGCTGGAAAAGCCCTCTGAGGTTATTGACTCCAACCATTATCCCATCCCCAAAGCCTGCTCCCACATCTCTGTGTTTTATGGATGTGCCACATCTCCTCGTTTTACGAATGTTTGCAGGGATGATCACCCCATCACTTCCCTGGGCAGCTGTTCCAGTGCTTGACAACCATTCCAACAAAGAAATTTTTCCTAATATCCAATCTAAACCACAAAAGACAAGCAACAGCCTGGAATGGAATGACTAAAAAATAACCCAAAGCAACAAACCTGCCCAAAAAATCCCAACCCCAAACACACCATTCCATATGCACAAAAAATCCCCCATGCCAACCCCAGAACATCACAGTGTAGTTTATCCAAATACTTGTGGTTTTCCCCTTTCCTTGATATCTGGTATAATGAGAAACATATCTATAGAAATATCTACTCCAGCAGCAAATTTAATAAAGATTAGACCTGAAACAAAAAATGAAGAAAACTTTATTGAAGTTAAAAGGCAAAGGTAAAGCAGCCATCAAGTGGGAACGTGCTGATAAAGAAATACTGTATAAGAAGGTTGTGGAAGGAGCATGAGGGGAATTGAGTCAGTTCCTGATGTGACTGGTTGATGTCACAGGACTGTTCACACAGAACAAAGGGCAAAATCAGTAGGTGGAAGATCATGGACCACATGAAGGTGGTATACAGAAGGGCCTGGTGGAACAAACCCCAGGTTTTCAGGAGCTATCCAAGTTGGAGTAATTTGCAGTGTTTAATCAGATCCCCTGAAGCTGGTGAGATTTTTGGAGCTATTATTGAGTCTGTTGCTGGCTAGAATTGTGATGTTTGTGTTGGTTACTCTTTGAAAAGCTGCTTGGTGGGAATAAAAGCTGTTTACTTAATATTCATGTAGAGGCAAAGCCAGGTGGATGAACTGAAGGAACAGCATGTTCCACTCCTACAGGCAGGGACATCTTTAAAGCTGGAGTCCCAGAACATGTGATGGTTGACTTTTCATTCCATTGTATTTCTCCACAGCAACTGAGAGAAGCAGGGTGTAAATCCACTGAGCTGTAGGGTGTAAGAGGTGCTAACAAAGAGGTGTTCATGGAATAAGCACCCAGAGCACAGGGAGTGGGGGCAGGAGTGTCAGCAGGGCTCTGGGAGGCAGTAATGCAGATTTTTATGTTGGAACTCTATTTTAAACACAGCCTTAATTTTATAGCTGGAAATAGGTTTAAATTCTGCATTGTGGAAGTGGTGAAAACAAAAAGGGAGCAGGAATAAGGTTGGTTCAGTGACACTGAGTCAGCCTGCAGTGCTGGAAGCATGGCCAGCCCCCAGCTGCTCAGCCCTTTCCTCTGGAAAATGTTTTGGCTTTCCTAAGTACCAGCAGATCCCTTTGAATTCTACCAAGCCACAGAACTGAGTCCTCCTGAATACTAATGATGCTGTCTAGCACTTTTTAAAGTCCTTTTCACTGCTAGAGCTCAGAGTGCTCTTCAAAGGAGGTCAGTACCATGAATGAGAGCCCGAGTCCCCAGAGCTGTGTAATTCTCTGCTGCAAAGGTCTCTGCCCAGGGATGTCTTTCTGGTCTTTATTTTTTTAATTAAAATGTCAAAAACAGAAAAAAAAAGAAGCCAATTAAACTGCTCCATTAGCAATGTAGAAGTTTGTAGGCAATTTGTTTTACTCCGTTGCCAGCAAATAAAGTGTTTCCCATGAATTCTGTGATTAATTCCTTAGGGCTGGAAACAGTGTTAATTGGGGGATTAAGAACCAGATGTTTGTTGTTCTGAATAAATGTTTCAAAATCGCAGAACACATGAATCGTAGGTATCCAACCCCCAGATTTCAGTGGGACTTTGGTTCCACCTCCTTGCACAATAGCAGGAGTGATTATAACAAAATATTCTCTAACAGATGGGTGTTTACTTAAGCCTGAATACCCTCAGTGATGAGTATTCTGCAGCTTTTGGGCTGTTTGTTCCACTGCTTGAATTGCAGAAGTTCTCAAACCTTTATTTTCCTTTCTGTGGCTTCAACTCTTTTTTTTGGTTTTTTTTTCCATTTTCAAATAGGGAAAATAATCAGTTGTTGCTCTCTTATAACCTCTCCTACATAGTAGTATGCAGTTAAATCTTTATTCTGCAGGAATGTGACCCAGTTCTTTTAACCTTTCTTAATTGTCTTTTGTCTTCCCTGTGCCTTCAGTCATTATTTTCTCACCTTTTGGGAGGTATTTGTGTGAAGTTGTGCTACCAAGCAAGGACTCAGCACTCTGCATGGCAGTGCTGGAAGGCACAAGACCAACCCAAGCCAGTCTGGGATCCTGTGAGAGCAGGACTTGAGCTCTTTTGTGGGTCTTTTTTGAGGCACATGCTTGGTTAGCACAACAAAGAAATGTGTTTAAATCAACCAGGCAAAAGTACTGCTCTTATTCACCACTTTGCAGCATTCCAAGAGCTGGGGCCTGGCTGCTCTGGCAGCAGTTGCAAGAATAATATTAATAATGAAAGTATTTAACATTTAAAGTTCAAAGTATTTTACTATCATTTGCTAATTAATTCCAATGGAGACTTAACCAAGGCTGACTAGACTGAAGTAATTACTTTAATTGTATTAAATATGATTCTATTTGAATGCAAAGGCATCATGTCTTGTGCATTTGTGCAGCTGCATTCTTTCCTGTTGGATTTCAATCCCACGTTTACTTTGTGAAGTTTTCCTGTTCCAGCTTAGCAGATAATAATCAACACATAGAGGCTGAATTTCTGGTCCCACCTGCCTGACTGCTCACTTGTTTCATCTCTGTAGCACTTAGAGCAAGGGCTCCTTTGCTTTCACAGAAATAAACAATAATTCTTCCAAAAGAAATGGAGTAGATGTGTGTATAAACATAGATCTGCATCTCTCAGTGCTCCATATCTCTGCTGTTTCTTGCTCCACTGTTTTCCAGCTGGGCATTGTCTAGGAAACAGAAGTGTGGGTATGAAGAATGTATGGATTAGCAAAATGTTTTGGAATAAATGATAATATTCAGAATGACATCACTTGTAGGCTACCTAGCAAGTGCAAATGGCCTCACTTTGCATCCTGGTTCCACAAAACAACTTCTGCAAAGAGCAACAGGACCTGTTATGGTTGAAGGGTGGTTTTGTGATAGAAATTGGTGCATTTTTATCTCCCATGGAGTCATTTAGGTTGGGAAAGCTCTCTAAGATCATCAAGTCCAACCCTTACCCCAGCACTGCCAAGGCCACCACTAAAGCATGGTCCCAAGCATTCCATGACATATTTTTGAATGTTCCCAGGGATGATGA